CTTCCACTCATTTCCATATTGACATATTGATCCCTGCGATCATTATGACTTACCCTTGCATTAGCAATCATTTCGGCATCTTTCTCTCCCCATACATCAACTAATTTTTCTTTCTTCATCCGAAGAGGCGAATGTTCAATCTTATGAGGGTTATAATTCATCATTATTTTACAGATTAATCCTTCCTCCCCTTGGTAGTCAATATTTTGCAGTAATTGATATTCACCATCCCCAAACTTGTAACACTACAATAAATTCAAGTTGGAAATGTCGTTAATGGTCGTCTCCATTTGCAATAGACGTCAAAGTCGACATTCAAGGCTATTTTCGACATGAAACTAAACAGTCAATTTATAGACGGTTCCACTTTAGAATAGAGATTAAATGGAAATAAATTATTCTAGCTTACTTTCAAGCTATATTCACCATCTTCCATCATTTTCCAAACATAAACATAATCATCATCAACATACACAACATGACTCCATTTCAGTCGATCAACGCTCTTCATTCTGGTTGTAAGGTTAATAGTTATTATCCAGCTATTGAATGCGGAGAATATCTGAAATAAATCAATTCATTAATTCGACCAATTGACCTCCAACGTAATTGTAAAATCAGTTCAACAACTTCTTATGTTAGCTAATAAGCATTCTCATTTTCATCATCTTCTTCTAAATAATACTACCGTCATTTTCATACAAACTTCAAACTAGTATTTTCAACATACTTTCATGAGAATGAGTGTGTTATCCTTCTTTCTATATCTGAAGCGTATCCTATCTTTAGCAGTCGATTCTTCTTCTTTAGTCGATTCTTCTTCAACTATTCCATTGATTAATTCCCTGTACTTTCTACAATCTTCTATACCTACAAACTCGATCAGCTGCAACCAATCAATATTATTCAATTCAATTCAATTGAGCAGAGGATTGAACAAAGTCGATAGAGCTACTAGTGCTGATGAAAGCTTAACCTACGTCGAATATGTTGACGGTAGTTTGGGGGTTACGTTGGGTTACGTCGCTACCAACATCAACTGATTTTGTTTGAGAGATATCTTGCCAAGCAATTTTATCGCCTTAGTTTAATAAAAACGATTGTGACCATGAATGAATGCATGATTAAATTAGAGTTGTTGTACAACCATCAGGTCTTACCTTGTAAATTATATTCATATACATGACGATCTTCATTAATAAGCTTTCGATTACTACCAGGTGCATCATAAATAAGCAATCGATTACTACCAGGAATAAACATTGATCGACCAGATTGATCAAGTTTAACACGAGATTGGACTTGATCACCACTCATCTTGAGTATGACTTCCTACATACAGTATACCACAGTATTACAATATAGGACTAATATTACTGCACTGTAAAATATTTTGCTGATCTACTTTATGACGCATCATGAATATGAGTAACCCAATATTGCACTAACCTTACTTAAACAGTCAATAGCGATCATTGACTGATCGCCTGATACCAAAATATTCTTAACCTTTCCAACATCATGTAATATTGGCCGAAATTGATTTTCAAATTCGATATCTTGTTCCATTTTTAACAGACCAATTGTACTACTTCTAAACCAGTTATATGACAATATCATATAGGCTGCATCACGGTAGATGTTGATGTGCGTTAAGTACAAGCCATGTTGAAAATCATTGGTAGCAAAGTACCGACCATCATCCTTTGCATGGATGAAAGCAGGTACTTTGAATGATCGACAAGTCCATTCCTGTGCATTCCACATCTATCCATCAAATTGATACAAATAGCTTTTATCAATTGGATCTAAGAGACGATATTTGACTTTACTGCATTTAGTCAATGGTAGCTTACTTCAATTTGACATTCATTAATCCACTTTTCCGGATCGACAGGTGCATAGTTTTTATACTCCCCTCCTTGACTTTGATATTTTCTCCACCACAACAAGACACAAACACTATCTTGCACTAGTACCCATCGACAATATTCTATTTTGTATTGGCGTGATATTTGCTTATTTGTAGGTCTAATACAATTCCCCTCAATCTTCCAAATCTAATAATACACAGCACAACAACAGTTGAACGCAACAGTTTTCAATCACTTGGCATGCTTAATTAATATTCGCTTAAACTGCTACTGCTAACCCTAACTTCACGGGAATCTCCAGAGAGTGTCATGATCACTTGGGTTTGAGATTGAGCAGGGCAAAATTGTACGGAATGAAAGTCAGTGTTAACGTCTTCCCCTTGATCGTTTTGGGCAAAGCTTATTTCTTCATTTTTATCGAGATCGTAAACGATCCACTTTCCGATCCACTCGTCCTAAGAATATTCAACAAATGAATGAAGAATTAACTTACCATCAACTCAATCCTACTCTAATTGCAATGTGCTACCTTTCTGCTTAATTGCTGGAAGGCTGCAGTCCGACCGTCAGCTGAGATTTCCACTTTTTCAATATAAATGTTTGGTGTTGATATTTGAAGCACAGTTTGTGATGTTTGATAATCTTGAATCTATTAAAGCAATTGCAATCGTGAGCAAGACATAAATTGACATGAATGACATGATAGAGTAACGAGTAATCAGCATTGATTTTATTGGCAGTCTATGACTGATTGGATTGTATTTTCAGCACTAGTTCAACGATAGTCCATTCTAATTCTTGGCCTTTGCCGTTTTATTATTGTATACTAACATACCACAATTTGGCAGTCTCGTCTACGATTGTTTTGAGTACCAATTATTCGCAAAGGTCCAAAGTTTTTCAAAGGATTCGAAACTGATATAGAATTATCACATTCATTCTTACCGATTGCTTTGCATGCATCATAAGTATATGGAGTTGTTGCACTAGTTGAACACCTATTTGCAAGTCAGAATCGACAGTATAGTGTAAATTACAGTAGGTAGTACTGCTATGGATTGATGAAATTGGAAGTAGTTTACTTACCTTGACATCCTCCAATAACTTTCACCATTTCGCACATTTTCCTTAGCTAATTGCAAAGCTCGCTGTTTCATCCAACTATCTGACATGCCAAACCACAAGATCATTTGAAGGACATTACTTTTGTTTACATCTAGCCAAGGTTGTTGCTGCTTGAGGAGCTGCTTGAGTTGATCGAAATCCTCCC